CCCTGGAGGCCATCTAGTCCAACCCCCTCCTCAGGCAGGAATCCCTTCAGACCGTTTCAGACAAGATGGGCATCATGAAAAATGTAACATACTATACATAAAGACAAATATGCCTCCGTCACTCTCTCTTCCTGGCGGGCGGGGGGGGGGTTTGATATGGGGAGGGGAAACAATGGGGACATCCAAACGGATCCTTCTGGGGTCTCCCAGCCCCTCCCTCTCAACCCCCATTTTCTCTGGTTACGCCCAACTTTTCCCCTCCCCTTAATCGTCAGCCTTTCTAGGATTTGGGGTAGAATTGGGGCTCTCTCCCCCCCAAAAAAATCAGCCCCCCCCAGACCACCTCAAAAGGAGGGTCTCCTCCCCTTTCACAACAGGGTAGATCTGGGGGGGAGGGCAATTGAGGGGAGAAACTCAGAACTCCCCCCCCCCCATTCATCAGTTCCCCCTCCCCGTGGTTCTCCTCCCCGTCCCAGGTCCTGATCGGGTGATGGAGGATTACGGGGAAGGGACCGAGGTTCAAATCCTGCCTGACCTTCACAGCCCCAGGGGGGGAAAAGTGAAGTTTCTGAAGCTGCAAATGTTTTTATGTTGATTCTACTTTTGGTGGCGTTTGTGGATTCAGCTCTGAAGATGCCTCAATTTCCTTCTTTCGCTTTCCGCCTCCGTCCTCTTTCCAGGCAACCGACTTGGGGGGCTCCGGATACGGGTCTTAAGACCCACACCCACCCAGTCACCGGTGGGGGGTCCCACTGCGTCTCATCTCAACTCGGTCGCCTTCCCACGAGCTCCCCTTCCCCTCCACAGGCACCAGGAAGGGAGACAGGGGCGCCTCTTCGTCCCCCTGGGCGAGGGAGGGAGCAGAGACCAGCAGAGATCGAGGCTTCTCAGGCTCCCGCCTCTCTTGCCTGCGATCCCTTTCCCCATTTACGGGGGTCTCTCAGCCCCTTCCCCCCCCCAGGAGCCTTGATGGCCCCTCCCAGCCCTTCTCCTCCCCCATAATAGCCCCCTCCTTATGGGGGGGTCTCCTTCCCCCTTTGATTTCACGGGATCCGGCCCAGCGCCCCCACTAGCAGCATCAGGGGGAGCCCAGTAGAGCCCATGGATGCCACCCCACAAGTGCCCCCAAAGAGAGGGGAGGAAGACGCGGAGGCTCCCGGCCCCAGAGGTGGAATCGGGGGAGGGGAGGTCCGGATTTGGGGGGAGCATCTTCTTCGGGTTTCGGAATTGTGGGGGGGACCCAGGAAAGCGGAAGGACCAATGGGAATCCTCCCTTCTGCAGCGTCATCTGTCTCCGGGCAGCGTCTCCCTTGAGAAGTCCACAAGAGAAGATCGTTCCGAGCACAGAGAGAGAAGCGGAGAAGTGGGGGATCTTTTCAATCTTGGAGGGCTGCGGCTCCAAGGGGGGGTTCATGTCAACCCTGGAGGGAAGTGTGGACTTCCTTTTGCCCTCCCCTCAATCCGGCGTGGAGTGGGTCTGCGGTGGATGAGAGAAGGGGAGGCACAGCCCCATAGCCCACGAGGACTTGGGGGTTGATTGTGGAGTCCTCGGATGCCTACACACACACACACACACACACACGGTGGGAGAGTCCCTCCCCCAATCACATGGGGTCACTGTCCCCCCCCCGCCCCCTCCCGGAATCTTCTGCCTTTGGCTCCCTTCCTGGCAAGGGGCTGCCGGAAGGCCGGTTGCACCCCCAGCGCTGTGGGCTTTTCTGACCCACCGCAAATAGTAGGTCGGTGTTTGGTTCAAGAATGGCGGTTGTTGATCTGAACTGGGGGAGGGCTTCTCCCTCCCTCCCTGACAACCTATTCTCCCAAAGTTCCAGAAGGCAGGAGGAGAAAGAAGGCAAAGAAACTGACCAAGGAGAGATTCATTTTCTGACCATAAGAGTTTGGGGACCTGAATTGACATCTAGTCCACCCCTCCCTGCCCACAGAGGAAAGTCTACTTGAGAATCGTGAAGAGAGCAAAGAAAGTGGAGGTTCCTCGCAGGGCCTGCCCTGACCTCCCGCCCTTGAGCCGCCCCCCCCTTTCAGCTTCGTTCTCTGCCTCCGAAAGACCTCCTCCTCCTTCAGGTGAAGTCACAAAGGACTCTGCCCGGAGACCGATGACGCTAGAGTAGGGAGTATTCCCATTGGTGCTTCAGCTCATCCTGGCTCCTCCCAGCTCAAAAGTCCGAGAAAAACGTACCCTCCGCCTGGCACACACAAACATGTTCATTAAATGTGAAGGTTGTGCAGTGAGAAATTGGGGACCACAAACAGACACCCCCACAACCCGAAGGGAAACCCCGGAAACCCTTCCGCTAAACAAGGGAGAGGCGCCGCTTCATTTCGGGGGAGTGAAGGGATTGGAGCATAAACAGAGTACATATAGTGTGTGTCTGGCCCAATCTTAGATTTCCTTGCTGAACCCCATTGTAACATGCTGAGTTGGGAGGTGAACCAACTGCAGAGATAAAAACTTATGGGCAAACAGCCAACATTAGCCTAGCAAAGTAGCTAACTTAGAATGTATTTTTTCCCAGTAACTCAAAATGTGAGAAACGAAGCTTTGAGCTAAAATGTATTTCTGTAAGGTCTCTTTGTTTGTAGAGGCACTGAGAAAGTCATGAACTTTGCTTGATATGAAATAATGTTTCCATAGCAATGACGGTCTTTGCTAGCTGTGTAATCTATAAAAGTTCAAGAAAAAGTGTTTGCGCGCGCCTGCTTTTCTCTCTCTGCCTTGCTGTTTTAAGGTGGGAGACTGAAAGGTTGCCCAGTTTTTCCTTTCTGATATCAGAAAATAAAACTGATTATCAGTATCCTCGTGTTCAGAGTTTTATTGGACTTATTAGATTCTGAGCTGCAGTCGAAAAGCCTTACAGGAAAAAAAAAAGGCCATTTCCCTACTTGAGAGACGCGTCAGGAAAAGATTTAATGGGGGGGAATCGCGCAGCTGCTGCCCAAAGAAAGCAGGAGACAAACTTGTAGTTTTATATCAATATAAATGTATTTAACGTTCGCAGCAGAGAAGACAGTCAGGAACATCCTGAGGTAAATCTCAGCCCAGAGAAGAAAAAGGCGGGAGAAAAGGGAAACGCCCCCTTTCCACCTACAGCAACCAATCAGAGAGCAGATCCCCTCAGGCGGGAGCCCTCCCTCCCTCAGTCAAAATGGCGTGTTTGGGACCTTTGTGCGCTTTTCTTCTTCAGCCATTAAATGGGGTATCTTCACATTTAAAGGGTTCAAAAGGAAAAGACCCAAAATAACTTTGCTTTTGTCCATTAGATTGAATTGTCAGGCTGGAATGTTTTTTTTATTATCTTGCACTGGGCTAAAAAGAAATAATCTTTTCCCCCTTTTTTTCTCTTGTACCTCAGACTTTCTTTTCCCCTCTTTCTCCTTCCCTTAATTTCCAATTTCTATTTTCTGTGTGTTTTGTATAATAAATAAATAAGATCTTGAGACTCTAGAAAGAGTACAGAGAAAAGCAATAAAGATGGACGCTAAAATATATTTTTTAAAAACAGTTGCTGGAACTGGGTGTGTCTGGTCTGAGGAAAAGAAGGACGAGGGGAGAAATGGTGGCATCTTCCAATATGTCAGGGATTTCCACAAAGAAGATTTCTTTTTTCTCCCCTCTAAATAAATATAGAAGCGAACCTAATGAAAGAGGCTTCCCCATTGGGCCACTGGAGCGCAGAGGCTGCGGTGAAGGAAGCGACATCACGGAGCCTTGCCTCTCTAGGACGCACACTCGTTCTCCTTAACCCCTGGGGCGCAGCAGGAGGCGGAGAGGCTGCAACGGAATTTGCGGCGGGACATACAGCCGTGCCCCGGGTGAGGGGAGGGGCTCTTCCTAGGTCCCATGCTCCCCAGCCGCCCTCTACATGCCAAGTGGGGAGAGGGGAGGGCGGGGCTTCCGGAGGCCCAGCAGGAGAAGAGGGAAGCCGGGCAAGGAGGAGGTAGGAGGGGGAGAGAAGAGGGGAGGGGCGGCCTCTCCAGCTGCCTCCTTCCCGACCCTGCTTGATGGGGCGGGCTGGGCCCTGCACTGGGATGAGCTGCTTGGGGCTGCGGGCAGGTTGGGGGAAGTGGGTACAGGGGCTGAATCCCCCTTTGTGATCCTGGGCGTTGGTTTTTCTCTCCATCCCAGATCCGGAACCTCGGCAGGCAGGCAAGCCAGGATTTCCTCTGCGGGGGAAGGAAGGAAAGAAGGAAGAGAGTGAGAGGACCGGCAGGCATCAGTCTTGCAGCCCCAGAAATGGTCCTGTGAAGGAAGAGGCCCCCGGAGACACTCCAGAGTCCCTGGAGCCCTTTGGAGCTGCTCTGCTGGAGAGAGGAAGGATGGAGACACCCCCTTTGCCTAAGGAGGGGAGCGGAAAAGCCGCCGCGGCTCTTCAGCCTGGGAGCTGTGGGGTGAGATGGACCAGAACCAGGCAGAAGGTCCTGCAGGAGGGAACCATCCTCCCTTCAAAAGTTCCACCCTGGACCTCCATCCAATACAGGGAGACTGAGGATCCCCGAGGACTTTGCAGCCGACTCCATGACTTGTGCAGGCGATGGCTGAGCCCAGGAAAACACAGCAAAGCCCAGATGCTGGACCTGGTGGTTCTGGAGCGGTTCCTGGCTCTCCTGCCCCCAGAGATGGAGGGCTGGGTGCGGGAGTGTGGAGCAGAGAGCAGCTCCCAGGCGATGGCCCTGGCGGAAGGCTTCCTCCTGAGCCAGGCGGAGGAGCAGAAGGAGCAGCTCCAGTGGCAGGTGGGAGGCTTTAGGGAGCTCGGAGGGGAATAAATAGTGTTTGAATGCTTCGCTCTCCTTCCCAAACTTCTCCCATATTCATATTAATTCTCCAATTCTGATAGGATATTGTTCCATTGTTTTCTCACTCAGCCATATGGATGGATTTTGAGGGCCTTGAGGTTGTGTTCCAAATATAGGAATTCACTTTATATCTTATGATGTACATTAATTCTGCTTCTTCCTTCCTTCCTCCTATTGGAAGTGCTGCTCTGTGCAGATCAGAAATGCTAAGGGAAAGAAGAACCCATCAAATGCCCCTCAGGAGCTATTTTTCAGGAGGATCTCTTGGGAAGATCCAAGTCAGGACCCCTCAGGAGGTAATGGAAGATCCTCCAATTCCCCATCTGTCTTCCCTTCGCTCTTTCTTCTCTCCTATAGAATACTTCCTCCTATTTTGCTAATTATGCATTTTGAAATTATTTATTCCTTACAGAGAAACAAAGAATGAAGCTTTCTGGTTTTTATGAGGGAGATCAAACAGCGGTTGAACCTCCAAATCAAGTAAGAAAGGTTAAAAGAAATTAGATTTCTATTCTGCCTTTAGGAAGTGAAGTGGTTGTGCAGAGGTCTCTCTCCTTCTATTTTCCACCCTTGTTTAGCTTGGATTATTTTTGTGTTCTTCCACAACATGAAGGGCAGAATAGCAGGTTCAAGTTGCTGTCAG